TTTTTTTTTTTTTTCCTTTTCTACAGCCTTAATTTCCTTGCAGTAGTAACTTTGGAGCATTTTCATATGCCCATTTATGTCTGTTTTGTTCAAACTCCAGTTCCTCTGAGAGGGATTTGAAAACCTTCGCATAATCTACCGGTTGCTGGGGCCCACCACCTGTCATTTGGCTCATCATCATGGCCTGATCACTGTTCCCAACATCACTACCAAGTAACAGCTGAAGAATACCATTTGAACCAAACATAATAAGGAAGTACATACTGAGAGATGTAACGTAATTACAATCAAGGTCATCAATATCTACACCACGCTGCATCATACCTCGAAATCTTGGTGCGAGACCAAAAGGAAACTTAGCCACAACGAATCCTGAAAAAAAGTAAGAGACAAGCATCATCATACCCATATTTGGTACCATCATAAGAATATTATTCTTCATCATTTCCCCCATAACAGAAGGGTCTTGCATCATCTCCATAGGGTTAATTTCAACTTTTTTCTGTAGTGGACCTTGTCGTAATGCCTCAGTACGCTGCCGAAAGGCTTCTGCCGGAAGTTTCTTTCCTTCACCAATTAAGAGTCGCGCATAATTGGCAATGTTAACGCAACAAATCCGCTCCACCTTTGGCTGCGGACTAGAGCTCATAAGAAGACCGGCATAGTGACGAAGCACACCAACAAAAATGACAATGGCTATAAGTGGTAAAAGCACCCAATCCCGAATCTCAGGATCTAGCAGGATGTTTTGCGTCATCTCAAATACCGTAAGTTATATTGCGCTACTCTTTTGTTTTTCTAAAACCTATAATGTCGCAAATATAAACAAATAGAAAAAAAAAAGATATTTCTGTTTCAAGAATAAATAATAATAACAAGAAGAAGGGCTTAGTAATCAAAATCACCTTTTGGATTTGTATATATATACGTATATTTTTCCATACTGTACCCTTGATAAGTGTTTGCTTTTCCGTTTTGATCTCCTTCCCTCCTTCACACTCACTCACTCACTCATTCACTTGTCCTCCCTCTCTTCCACTCGGTTTCTTCTTTTTTTTTTCTTTTTTGTCCCTCCAGTAGACCACTCTCTTTGGTCAAATATATTTTCTCAAACTTTTCTTTTCTTTACTATGTTCTTTTTTTTTTCTTTTTTTTTCTTTTTTTTTCTTTTTTTTTCTTTCAGGTATTACTGGTATTGTCATCCAAATTTACTTCGGGGAATATTATCTTAGTATATCTAACTATGCGATCACGATAGGCTTTAGGTGGAATAGTGGACAATGTATCAGACTTCCACAAGAAAGACTTGCAAAAGTTCGCTGTCTTCTTTTTCCATGTATATGTTGTTAGCATATCAATGATACCAATATAATATATCTCTTGATCATAAAGGCTACTAATACCTTCAGCAAATACGAGTGATTTAGAAGCCCTTCTCAATGAAGAATTAGGTCGAACCTCCATACGGTCTGCGTCACTTTCACTACCCATCGGATAGGTCATTCGCATACTACGTATGTGTTTACCAGAACGTGATACTTTCGTTTCGTTATAAGCCACACCTATAAGAAGGGAATAATCCATAAGCCCTGCACTAGCGAGGAAATCATAATCCCGTATAAGAACATGAAGCAACTTCTCTCTTGTTTGTTTTTCCAACCAAAAGAGACGCGTAAGATCTTTATCTTTTCTTGTTTGTAGTTTATCCTTATCCTCTGCCTCAACTAAAACCACTCCTCCTCCTAGTGCATCAAGAAATTCAGGAAGTTCTAGTGTTTCACGAGGAGTGTCAATAATATATGGGTTTGGCTCGTATGGATGACGAATGAGTTTTGGGAAAAGTAAATACTTCCCTGGTTTTGGTTTTCGTCCCTTCAGATCCCATTTCTCGTTAAGTGTACGACATGGCCCAAATACGTCATCAAAGCAAAGAATATACCCCACTTCACTGCCTACCTCCACTCGAAGAAGCATAGAAAACCTCATTAGCAGTGTATCATCATTTCGAGCAAGGTGCTCTGTATATTGACGTAGAAAGCCAAGTAGAATATCTACTTCCACTTTTGCAATTGTTTTGCACATCAAGTACATAGACTTGGATTTAAGAAAAAGTGCCATGGAGCGACCTTCACCCATCTCTAACCCTAGACGTTCCTCAGGCAAGGTCCACTCATCCGCAAAGACTTCTTCGTCAACACCGGCAAGTTGTCTTAAGAAACGAAATACATCCGGAGCGTATTCGTATACCACTACTTCTTCCATAATACCTCCACTATTTGGTACCTTAAATCTCAAAACACGTGTTTCACTGTATTTTCCCTTATCCATCTGCTCAAGGGACTGATTAACAGAACTTATAGTACGACGCGCTATTCCTGTTGCTTCTCCATCTTCTTCAGCCTTCATGCGGTCATGATGACTTTTAAGCTGGGCAGCAGCAGCAGCAGCCAGAGCTCCAGCGACTTGCCTTCCAGTCAGGCCGCGTCCACTTGTAGCTGCGCCACCTATGGTTTGGCATACTCCCATCTGGAAAACTATTATAAATGTTTGCATGCACATAATAAGAGAGAAGTTTTTTTAAAAAAAAATAAAAAAAAAAAATAGAGGTGGTGTATATTCGTTACGTACATCTGTTCAACATTTTGATCAGTTCATTTGGGTTAGAATAAACACTAAAGATGAACCATTTTTCTCACTAAGCTTCCTATCAGGAACCAGTGCTAGGGACACAGAAATTAGCACACACACACACACACGCAGACACCAAAAAAAAAAAAAAGATAAATAACAATGTAAATAAACAGACAAATAAATAAATATTTCAGAGAGGAAATATTAAATTCCTCTCATTTCCTATTTTTTTTTTTCTCTCTCCCTCTCCAACCCACTCACATACACAGAGAGACAGACAGACAGAGAGAGAGAGAGAGAGAGAGAGAGAGAGAAATAAAGAAAAAGAAAAAGAATTAATAAAAACAAAAAATAATCAAATTAAAAATAATAAAATATTCCACCACTAACATACAGGACGAAAGCAGTTAAATCCCAGAGTCAAACTGTATTATTCAATAAGAACATTGTCTAATAATCGGGTAGATCCAAATGCATATGCTACCGCAATGAGAATCGTTCCAGTGCAATCTACTACCGGCTGCAAGGTATCACCAGAAAGCACCTCAACGTAATCTACCTTTCCACCAAGGGAGTCTATCACAGCATAGATTTCGTCCCGTATCACACTTGCTTTCACCGTGCGGTCAGCAAGCACCCGAGCCTCTGCCGCCGCAAGTGCAGCATAAAGTCCTGAAGCTTTTTTACGATCACCTTCTGAAAGAAAACGATTCCTCGAACTCATCGCAAGTCCATCGGTCTCCCGAACTGTTGGTGTTACCACAATCTTAATAGGAAAATTAAGATCCCTCACCATGCGACGGATGATAAGCGCTTGCTGTGCATCCTTCTGTCCAAAGTAAGCGATATCAGGCAACGTAATGTGAAAGAGTTTCGTTACAACAGTACATACACCTCTAAAATGACCCGGTCTAGATTTGCCGCAGAGAACTGTTGACAGCACCGTCTCATCCACCCACACGGAGGAGTCTGTTGCGTACATTGTAGACGCCTCCGGCCAAAATATGAATGCATCAGGAGCAACAGCAGACACCATTGCAACATCATCCTCAAAAGTACGCGGGTACTTTTTAAAGTCCTCACCGGCGCCGAATTGCGTGGGGTTCACAAAGATTGAAACAATAACAATATCAGCACTATTCAGTGCCGCAGAGACAAGAGAAATGTGACCGGCATGCAGATTTCCCATCGTAGGAACAAGTGCAATACGCCTCCCTTGTGCGCGTAGTGAGAGTACCTCTCGCTGTAACTCATCCGGATCACGGAACACACGCATTAGCGCAATATATAAATCGACTTATTATTATTATTTATTATTTTCTTTTCGTCTTCTTCACTCTCAAGAAACCCCAAAGAAAAAAACAGGACTCCTTCCGGCACCAATCTTTCCGCTTAAAGGAAAATACAAAAAAAAAGTCATGAAATAATAAGAAACATTTACATATTTCAAAATGTAACACAGGGATACAAAGATAGAGAAAGTGAGACAATATCATGCAAATAACGGAACAAAGTGCGATACATTAAGGCACAGCCTCACTGATCACATCGAAAAATAAATAAATATATATATATATATATATTAATTCCGCTCACTAAATATGGAAAGAAAAGACATGGAAAAACAAAAAAAAAAAAAACTGGACTTGTCTGGCATCACTAGAAGAAAAAGAAGAAAAAAAAAACATTTGTTCAGCAAAAAGAAACTAAAATCCACCCTGATCCCCAAAACGCTTCTTAATTTCACCGTTAAAGGGGTTTACAGGTGGTACAATCCCAAGTTCAAGGGTCTTGTTAAAAAGATATTCTCCCAACAACGCAGCTCCGTGTTGAGAAGGATGAAAACCATCAACTGGTTCAATAAGTTCCCACATAGGACCATCAAATGATTTCATTGCTCCAGCCATAACATCATCAAAGGCGTGAACTTGAATATTAGTAAATTTCTTTACCGATTCATTTAGAATACGAGGAATTTGAGCATTCAATAACTGAGCTGCAGCCCATGTTGCATTACGTACTGTTTCATTAGTATTTAACCATCCCCAACAAGGAGAAACATCAACACAATTTAGAAAATCATAGAAGTTTGAATACGTCACATCATTATGAAGACTTCCTATGGGATGTGTACGATTGTGCATTACATTATACAAAATTCGTCCATCCGAGAGAGATGAAAGAATGACATGACTTCCACTTGGTAAACGGCTGTCAGCCTTTTCCAAAGCAGCGATAATACGATTATAATACTCCTCTGGACTGGTAGTTGCGTTAGGACCATCACAGACATCATTCCCTAACATGGATATATACAAAAACGCCGGTTTTACATTATCTGACCGATCTCTCTTTATAGAATCCATTATAGAAGAAAGTTCTGATGTGCTAGCTCCATTAACTCCCAAATTCTGGTAATCTCTATGGTTACACTTATTTCGTTTTAGCAACTCACTATACACAGAAATCATATTACCTTCCCGATTTGGCTTATATTTTGAAATATTATCAAATCCTGTTATACTTGACAACATTGGCCAATCGAACTCGTTTTCAACAACAAGAGAAAAATTTGAAAATACCTCACGTGAAAGTTCATGTACTGTTACAAATTTGCTTGGAATGCCAAAATGTGCCGTTACGCTGTCTCCCACTGCGATAACACCCATTGACCCAGTATTCTGACACCACATCTCTTCATATGTTTTCCCTGTTACATTATTCACACCATAAATACCATTGCAATTTTCATCCTTTACATTATCTAAAGTATCACGTCCTGGATAGATAGTAGAATCCTTATCATTACAATCACGACCCCGCCAGTAACTTCCACGCTTTATAGGATTGGGTGAAAACGCGTCACCATCACTATCATAATACGGTTTCTGAGAATCTTTACTACCACATATATGCGGTAATACACGGCAAACGTTAACTATTCTGATATCATTCAGTTGGTATTTCATACGAAGTGCGCCGACCAAAAGCATATCTTCATTCTGTGGGAAAAGACGACACTTGCTATTTTTGCAGTAGGAAAGAGTATTGCACACAACATCAGCGGTATAGTTTTGATCAATAAGTGGAAGCGCACGGTCAAATAAAATCATGCTGGCAAGCGAACATAAAAAAGATTCACTACCCGGGAAAAACCCACAAAACATACTACGAGCATCTTTAGCAGAAATGTGGTGTAATTCTTTCAATTGCGATATTAATCCAGCAATAAAAGTACACACAACACATCCCCACTTTGCTTCATTACCACCCAAAGGAGTTAATGAATACATTACATCCTCATTGGCAATTAATTTGGCATCTCCCAGTGGAACTGAGATTATCAAGAGAATAACAACAGTGACAATAATACAGCAAATCACACTACTCTGTATCATCTTCGCTAATACTTGAAGACAGAGTGAAAAACCTACACCAAAGAAAATCGTAAAAACAATAGAAAACACAGAAAACCCTCTAACTAACAACCAATACAAAAACAAAAAAAAAAAAACGAGGGAGGGAGGGGAGAAAGTCAATCGTAACACGTTTACAATTTTAAGCAAAACAATACCACATATTTCTAAACAATAAAATTAATAGATAAAAGAAGGTTCTCTAAATAATCAGCACGAATTAAAGAACAGGCTAGTCTGCTTTCTTAAGCTGTTGAAGAAGTTTCTCTTTCATCGACATCTTTGCACTCTTCTCTACATTTGTAGTCTTTGTCTCCTCTTCTGCAGCCGCAGCGTCCCGCCTACGTTTGTGTGACATGATCTGCTGCAGTACGTACGCCTCCTGCTCCGCCGTGGCCCGTTTACACTCACCGCCTGAACTCAACTCCGCCGGCGAAGAACCACTGGCGGTGCCGCTGCGGCCAAACACTTTTTCCTGCAGTGCCCGCCGCCGCTGTTCGCGCCAGGCCACCGGGTCTTTACTAAGCTCCAGCAACTCCGGGTTCACATCACTCAGTGAGCCATCAGTTTCATCAGTAGACATCGTTGCCACCTACCACTACAAGGAGAAAAACAATGAAGAAAATAAGAGGAGATAAGGAAACCCATAAATATATATGTATAAACCATGCGATTAAACCGCTACAGAAACATCACACAAGGGAAAAAAAAAAAAAAACAAATAATAATATAATAATAATAACAGCGATCAATCCAGAGAATTTAGAGGTATCAAAGCTTCACTAAATAACTCAGTTCAAACAGAACGCGTTACGAATTAAACCATCAGAGCAATCCAAACAACACAAAAACAAAGAAGGGAGGGGCAACAGAGGAAAATAGGTTCATTGTAACTATGACATGTTGTATAGTGTGATCATGAAGGGGTTTCACTGAAAGCATGGAAGGTTGGAATCATTACAGTGGCGTATAAATGTCAAGATGCACATAATCGGCACAAAATAATGGTGGAAGCTCAGTCAACGTATGACCAATGTCAAGACCTCATTGAATGACTCAGTTCAAACAGAACGCGTTACGAATTAAACCATCAGAGCAATCCAAACAACACAAAAACAAAGAAAGGAGGGGTAACAGAGAAAAATAGGTTCATTGTAACTATGACATGTTGTATAGTGTGATCATGAAGGAGTTTCACTGAAAGCATGGAAAGTTGGAATCATTACAGTGGCGTATAAATGTCAAGATGCACATAATCGGCACAAA